TCCTCGCTTCTAAGGAGTATTCCGGTTGTATTTCTTCTAAGACTGATTTGATCATTCTTCTCACAGACTATGGTATATTTAATATTCTTTGCCAACAGCACAATTCAAATGCATCAATTCTCCTTTCTTCCTTTTTCATTGTCCAGCTTTTGCATGCATATGAGGCACCAACTAGAATGGCTTTCTGTTTTAATTGAATGTAAGTGTCAAAATCACACAATAGGCAAACATTTTACTGTCCATTGAGTACTCACCTCAAATTATTGGCTTCACACATACTCTCTTGTTCATCCTCCCATAGTCACAGAACTTAGAATACTTCTGGATCCAGATGGTGGTACATGCTTCACAAATCCATGGGCCTGACATTTGCACAAACTATCTTATAAGGAGGATACAAAGTTCATGTGAGGAAGGTGTTTTGACTACATTTTATAGAAAAAGAAAGTGAGTCTTACAGAGGTTGAATGACTTGAAAGGAAAAGACAAACTTGAAGTTACTACTATCTGACTCCAAAGTTTATAATTTTTTTGCCATGCTTCTTGGTAACCAAAAAACATAAGAAAATCAAATCCATTTCGATGAAAGAAATATAAATAAGAAGGAAAAGAAAAAGTTGAAACTAAAGTCTATGTGGGACTTGAAAACTATAGTGTTCATTAGATATATTTATTTTATGTATGTGAAAATTTGTTTCCAATAAACACAACATTCTCTCATCAAACTCTGCCTCATTTCTGGAATGAACTTCTCATGATGTTTGACTGATTTATGCTGTGTTTGCAAAGAATCTAAAATCTTTAATTATTTCCATATAGGAATATTTTGCACAGAAATAATCCTTCTGCTGATCAAGTCATTCCAATTTCAGCCAAAGAAAATCTAGTAATGGAAATAATTTTATATGCTCTGTAAATATAATAAATAGCAGTATCTTTACGAAAACCTCACATGAAGATGGTGATACAATCAGAGACCAAATATTTTAATGAGATAGTAGTAGTCCCAAATGAGATTGTCATCCTACTGGAATGATCGTCATCTTTATATTTTCAACCTTTATGAAAAAATTTGTGAGTTTTAGATTGTTTCAGAAAAGTATAACTGAGGCTTTTGTTTCATGGTTTATTTTCCAGATTTCCTATACTGTTGAAAGATTTATCATGTTTCTAGAATCTCTCTGTCAAGGAGGGAGGCATTGTTAACACTTTTCTTCTTGTCCTTGTTTTCCTTTCGTGATCAAATTCCTCTATATATTCTACCAGCCTGAGGTTTGTTGATGAGAAACAGTTTTTGGAAAATGGTAGTGAGCGTCATTTAGCCATTTACCGAATCAGAAAAGCACTATTAGGGGCAATGAAAATATCCACATAAATTTTTGAAAGATAAAAAACTCAAACCTGTTGCCATCGAGTCGATTCTAACTAATAGCGACCCTATGGGACAGAGTAGAATTGCC